CATCTGGCAACGTGGGCTCACACATGGTGGGGGCGCTCCTGCTTTTGTAGCCTGTGATGCTCTGAATCGCCTGCCACGTATCCTCGGTGTTGCTGGTGTTGAGATCTCTCTCCAGTGTCTGCTTTGCCTCCTCGCCCATCGAGTACAAAAGTTGATCCAGGCTGTTGTGATGAAGCTCAGTCTCTGTGAAGATGTGGGCGCAAAAATCTCTTGTATCCTATTGCTAAGCACACCTGAGACTTATTTCATTTTATTTTCCTAGACGTGAGCTGGCAGGAAGTTGGGTAGAGGAATAGCCTTAGGTCAAGCTTTTCTCTTTTTATTGCACTGCTTGACGTAATCTTTGCTTTGGCTGATCTGACTGGCTGCCCTGAGAATACCAAGGGCAGAGATCATCTTAAGGTCTGCTAAACTTAATCCAATCCATGCATTTACTCTGCCATCAGTGTATTTCTGTCAAAACTAATCATGAACGTTTTTCGATGAGCGTCTTTTAGAATTTGTTGATTTTTTTGTGCAATAACTTGAGTGTATTTATTTACCTCATGTAAAATTCTATCTTCACTATGAAAACTCTCTGAGTTGCAAGTCCTTGACATACATAGGAGTGGGTCTAAATTTGGCACAGAGAAATAGAAAAACATATATACAGACTCTTAAAAGCTCAAATCAAATAAGCATTTTGGCTCAGAACCATTTTTCTATACCTAACTTTGAGGATCAATAACATTTGATATACTTAATATTATTTTTTCAGTATTAAAACTGCACCAATGCACCAAAAACGAGAGAGAATAAAACAAAAATGTGGTCAAATTCAGGGGAGCTACTTTGCATCACACATATATACAGGAGATCAGAAAATGTCTTCAGCACCATGGACAGCATGACACTTCAATGATGAGAGGTGGAAACAGCTAGCGGGGAAAATGGGAAAGGCACAACGACTTTTCAGAGCTAGTATGTGGAAAGATTTATACACGGGACTGGGGTTCATGTTATGTGTATTATTAATTGAATTATTTTCACTTATTTTCCACCAAATATCCTGCCACACATTTGTAAGGTTAACAAAAGTCACCAAGGCTTACGCATGTGCGTTTCCTGTGTTTCTAGTACGAACCAAGAAGACGTTTTCCAAGAATGCTTTCTAGCAGGAAAGGTTTCTGCCAGCCCTGAAGGCTAACTTCTTCCATAACCGTGAAAAGCCGTCTCACAATCTGTGGAGAGACTTCTGTTTGACAGCACTCTCAGTATCTGTCACTCTGTTTTTGCCCCCAGGCAGACAGAAACTCAAGCAGTGATGATGCACACACTTTTTCCGAGGTACAACCCATTAAACACAACTGCAAGTCACATCCCTTTTAAGAGGCTGTGAGTTGGAGATGGATGCCAGAAAAGTTTCATCCAATAATCCCATTATCTAATGGAAAATCTGGTCTTTCTGATAAATTAAAAACAACAACAACAAAGACAACAACAATTGTGTTTGTATGCACTTTTAAGTCCACACAGTACAGGCCATTTACAAATGTTTATTCTGGCTCTAGATTTCAGGTCTCCTTTTTAGTGTTGTTTGTTATGTTGACAAAACACAGCCTCTGTTCTGCAGCAGGGGCTGTGTTTTGTCAGCTGCGAATACATTTCGATCAGATCCACTATGGTCAAAATATGATTATTTCCATCTTCAGTCATTTACAAAAAGTTCTGCACAGTCTGAGATTTCTCACTGCTGAGTAATCCTGACACTCATTTCATCCATCTGATTTTCTTGCAACCAGACATTAGCCTGAAGTAGGTCGGGTACAGAAGTAAAAAATTTTTATACCCACCATATTTTCTCTTTGCCTAACTGGCTGGTCTGAGAAGAATAGGGACAGCTGGCTGCTATACATATTCCAGTTCCCGCCTTTCCTTTTCAGTTTGAATGTATTTCATCAAATTAATCATAAAAATGCTCTTCAAGAAAAGACAAACAAAAATGAAAAAAACCCTTGGAAAATACAATATTTCTGTTTTGTCCACACTCTTATTCTGGTTTTGTAATTTCTTTTTACATAAATGGTTTATGTCTGACAAACATTAACCACCCTCATTCTGTAAGAGACGCCTGTCAATCAGGTCGCTGCTTACTTGATTTAACATTCAACGTATTTTTCTCCTGCATTGTTTTTGGCACAGCTGATATTTTCAGATTTCTCAGTCTGGTCCCATTACAGTATTCCTTTTTACTTTGGCCTCTGAAATAGTTACTGGAACAACGCCAGTGTATCAAAGACTGTTCTTTAGTACCCAAAAAGATCTTCCTGCATTTCCAGAAACCTCAGGTTTGTACAGCCAAAAAACCCCCAAAGCAAAACAAATAAACAGTGAGAATTCTCCCAGCCTCGCTCCTCACCTGCCATGCTGCTGTACGGCTTGAAAAACATGTACTCTTCAACTTGAAACTGTTGAAAAGAAGCATGCTGCTGTAGCTGGAGTTCCAATTCATTACCAGTGATGATCCTCCACATAAAATTCAGAACAGTTTGAAAGAAACTTTCATTTTTGCTCACTGTCAAGTTCAAATGGTCTGACGTGGACTTCCAGGAAGTCAAAAACAAGTAAAACAAGTATTCTGGAAGCCCTGTGAGACGACACTGAACTTGAGATCAGGTTGAATCAAGTAAAGATTTCTGATTTTTATAGACCTGTTCTCACCACAACAGATGGTACAGCTTCCACCTCTCGACAGGTGCTACCTGAATCGGTCTCTCAATCTCCCACTCAAAAATAGAAAAGACCCCGATATAGGCTACTTGAGTTCCACCACTTGATGTAGCAACTCCTCTCCAGCTGAGATTAGGCACTCCACCCCTGATCCAACTGAGAATCATGGCCTCAAACTTGATGAGTACTCATTTTCATCCCAGCTGCTTTATAAACAGTTGAAATGTCTTGTCATTGTTCTCCATAATAAAATAAAATGAAATAAAAAAGGAATTACAGCAACAATAATCCTTTGAGTATATAAAGACTATGAGCATGACAGACCTCCTGTTACATGGGTGTGGATGTGCTTTACTACCTGAAGGGCGACTCTTGTTTTAAAGCTTGTTACCACACAGAACTCAGCATCACCAAAATAATTCAATTACTAAGTCACAGAAAAACCAATCTCCATTGAAGGTTGAAAATGTCAAACAACTCTTTGGACCTATTTAAGGTGCCTGTGTGACTTTCATTATTCAAAACCTCAAACAGGCTCAGCTGAGGTTAGCAGCAATAACCTCCTTCTAAGAGGGACAGTAGGAGTCCCCTTTCAATATCTTCTTTTCAGTTTCTGCTAGTGACACTATTACATGCTGCTCTTTTGCCCTTGTTGCAAATTACAGTTGATTATACAAAGTTATTGAGCAGTAAAAACAAAGATAATGGAAACAAATTGACTGAAACCTCTTTCTGTCAGAGACTCAGAGCCATTACCCTTGACACATTTGCACCTCCCACTCTCCAAGCCACTGAGCCTGTGTTTATCTGTTGCTCCAGCTTTGCCAGGAGTGTAGATTTAAACTACACACGATAAAAGACTTCCAGGATCTTGACCCCTGTTCTGCAGCTTCACTGACTGGGTCAGCTGCTCCAGCAGCCACCGCTGAACTGGACATTAATCTTCATTTCATCCTGTGTTGTTCTCCATGAATCACATTTCCCTTGTAACATGCTCAACACGCGCCGACCCTTTAAATAATTGATGTTGCCATCCTCTCCTCAGTGATAACTACGCTTGGGGATTTTCTGGTCCTGAATTATAGCGAGAAACAAAAGGAACTAATTTAACATAAGAGAACACACATTAGGAGACCTTTTGTTTTTATTTTTGCAGGGCCGAAATCAATTTGCCTTGGATTTATTTTCTGCAAAACGCAACAAATGCAGATCAACTCCTTTATCTTTTGTTGTCATGTGAATCAGCCAAGCACAACTGACACCAGACTAGAGATGAACTTTTTGGCGGATGTTAAAGTAAACGCTTCTGTGTTTTGAATTCGCCTCATGTGGTGTGGTCTTCAGAGCTAACCACAAACATCTTGTCTCTCATCTCCCCCATGATTAAATTGCCTTAAAGTATCAATCCCATTTAATTACGGTCATTATCATCAATGAGAAATTACCAGCGCCCAAAACGGCAGGGTTAATTAGACTTTCAGGGACAGAGATTATTTATTTATCTGTGGATGCCTGCAAAGGGGAGATAGGAATTGGGAGTTAACTTCACGTAGAGTCTGCTCAGCGTCTCGTTATTTCACTTTGCTCCCCACCCACTGCTGTCTCTCTCGTTCATCTCTTGCTTTCTGACTTCTCCTTTGTGTTTTTAATGTCATCGACTTTCAGTCTCTGTTTTGCAATGTACAGTTAACCGTTGACGTCCTTTAAAATAAACAGATACAAATAATTTACTCAATGTCCTGGATACTCCATTACACACCAAAACAAATGCTCGTACATCACTGTTTGACCGAGCATGTAAGATGGGCTTTTTAAAATTTCATTTTCACTGTATTTCTGTGTTCATTAAGCAACAACCCAAAACACAAGGGGTTCTTTAACACATCATTTCACTCATCAAAAGACAAGCAGAGCTCTCGCTGTCGTCTTTTCCTCAAAGCTCCTACAGATTTCACTGATTAGTTTCTTCCTTTTGAATGTGAAAATTGTCCAAATCAGTCAAATCAGCTGCCATACAGATCCGTTTGAAATGGAAACACACACCTCCTCTTCTATCTTCGATAGCACATGATTGTGAAATACTGTTCAAAGCAAGTGGATTTTAGGTCTGAGAACTTAGCAATTTTCATCACAACACAGCACTCCAGGAGTTGATTTCACAGTTATATACAGCTACAAATCAGAGAGGCAGGAAATAAGCAATCAGTGTTCTGTAGCAGGATTTAAATGGCTATACGCTGGTTAAAGGCCAACATAAACAAGTGCTCAAAGAAAGCAGAAACATAGCTTACTTCTTGGGTGGCACCTGGCCCACATTCACTCGGACACAGATGACCTTGCGAGTCTGCATTCCCATGGAGCAGGGAACCTCGCCGTCACTGTTGGGCGGGACCCCCACAGAAGTGTTGAAGGAGGAGGTGGAGGGGTCTTCAGTGCAAGGGCCCCAGGGCCCCGTCTGCCAGTGGTAAACTGTGCAGGGGTGTTCGTTACAGTTCCGAACCTCCTGAAGGGCGCTGCTGTTCGGGCAGAGGGCGCCACCTGAGAATACCAAAACACAGTGAGGACAGCAATTCTAAAAGTGTTCTCATGTGAGGAGGTAAAACAGGAGTAGTCATTCCTGTACTCTGTTTTCACAGCTGATTAAAACACATCATGTAATGCTAATTAAGAGAATCACCCAGCACTACTATAGTCACTGTTTTCAGTGTAAAAGTTCAGGTAAAACTACTTTACACGGATTAGGCTGCACAGCACCAAATAGCAGACTGACAATGTTTAAAATTAGAATTACCAGCCTCAGATCGTTATTTGCATACACTCTCAAGCATGAGACAGTCATGGAGCTGTTTCCTCTCTGTAGGTATTTTCTAGGATAAATCTGGTCGGGTGATGATGGAGTAAAAAAAAAAAAAGGATCAGTTTGGTTAAAAAATGAAAGGTGAAAAGTTCTTTTTTAAGCCTGTTACAAAACACTTTACACCTCACATGTAACCGCTGACAGTAAAAAAAAAAAAAGGTTTTGTTAGTGAAGGAAAGTTTTATTCTTGTGGGACCAAACAATATAAAACTTCTAACCCAGTCTCTCATTCAATGTCAGTTTAATATTTAGATATCTAGATATCTAAACAGCCTCTAATACCTTGTGACAACCTAATAATCAAAAATCTTTTTCTTGCACCTCGGAGGTGAGAATTGCTGAATAAAAAGCTAGAAGAGAAACTGTAAATGAGCCAGTTTCAAGTCTCAAGAAAGGTGCAAGAATTTGTTTCCCCCGAGGCTAAACGCTGAGGCTTATGTTGGTTGATTTATATGCATCTGCCTTATTTCAGGCACTGCACTTATGGCTCAAAATATCACTGCATCTTTTTTTTTGCTTGCTTTTCCACCCAATTTTCATTAAAACAGAATAATGCATAATATAGATGTATCTGGCATTTTGTTTTTACTGACAGCATGATCAGTTCTCTTCTCTTGCTGCCTTTGGGTATCAGGGGTTTCCTTTATAGAGGGAGCCTAAACTTTTTATTTTGATTTTACTTTTTCCAAAAAGCCTCCAAAGATAGCCCTGGAAAATCTCTAATGTTTGAATGAGACGTGTGTGATTTTTATGTAGATGACCAGAAATGAATAATAGTCCTTAAAAATATCTGTTTAGTTATGAGCAACATCTTACAAAACGTGCTTTGGTGAAAGCTACAAGGCTGAAAAGTTACCATGTTTGCTGGCATGTCGTGGAAAAATAGTGATTTTTAAAAAAAAACATGTCTTTAAATTATGTCTGTGAAGGTTCTCAGTCATCCAGGTCATCGTAGTCAAAGGAGCTTGCAAAGAAAAGCGTCTGGACTTCTTTAAGTTGCTTGAAGACGTTTCACCTCTCATCCGAGAAGCTTCTTCAGTTCTAAGGTCAAATGGTGGAGAGTCTTTAAATTACTACTACATATCTTGGGTTGCCAATGTTAAAAACAACCATTATTTACCAAAAAAAATACTTGCAGGTCCTACCCTGTTGAATGTTAATGTTACAAATGCTGTTTTGGTCTGGCTTTATCAGGGCTTATTCAGGATTTAGGTTTTAACCTTTGGCAATTTATTATGTCTACAAGAGGAGTTTAGATGTTTGTGTATACTACTGCAAGACATAAGTCCAGCTTTAATGCACTACTTAAGAGCCACCTCCACGGGACAAGACTCAGCAGTTCATCTGTATCTAAAGGACAAAGGTCACTCTTTCGAGGATGCCAACGTTCACATTTTGGACAGAGATGACAGATGGTTTGAAAAAGGAGTGAAAGAAGCCACTGTGAGCGACCATCTTTAAACAGAAGCGGTGGTTTACGACACCAACTGTCTGCCATCTATAATCCAGTTCTGAGATCCCTTCCCAGACGTCTTAACGCCCACTCACATCCTGGGTCATCTGATCTCAGGAATTTGCATGATAAGGTGGGGCCAGGTTTCACAATGAACTCACCCGAAACCCTGGCTGATTGGGACCCACACCCACTTTCACACCTTGGCTCATGTGATTAGGTAGATGATCATCAGGGGGTCCTTTGTCCCCCTTTGGGGTGAAACTCCCACTAGGCTTAAATCTGGGACTCCCCACCAATTGACCTTAGAACTGAAGAAGCTTCTTGGATGAGAGGTGAAACGTCTTCAAGCAACTCAAAGTCCAGATGCTTTTCTTTCCAAGCTCCTTAGTCCACTACTTTAGTGTTTAATACCTTTAACTATTGCCATCGCTATGCCCCCTCTTTGCCCATGTCCCTTTCCTTTCTCTTGTAAGGCAGCAGTCAGTCAGTTGTTGGATCGATGGGCTGAGAGAGCCATCTCTGTTTCAGAGTAATTGCAGACACTTAGGGCTTTCAGGAAAGATTGAGGGGCATTGCAGCACTGCGAATTCTTCACACCTGTATTTCTCTGCCGGAGTTGAAAGAAAGCCAGCTCCTAAATGAGTAGCGGTGTACACACAGTCGGGTCTGAATCACAGACTGCCAACTCTGACAAATCCCAGCCTAATAGCCCCTGAGCATGACTTCCTTTCTGCTGACTGCGCCATGCCACCTTAGCTGACTAACAATGGGGCAATGCTAAACTCGACACTGGCCTGACATGGTATTGCAAATGAGCCTCAGCTGTGGCTGAACAGTGACCTAGAAAATGTTGTTTTGCTGGACAACGGGGGAAATGTGAGGCAGTTTAAAGGAAACACATCTCACATGATGCAGTGACAAATAATGGTGCATATACAGTTTGGTCCATAAATTGCTAGACAAAGACAAAGTTTTGGCTCTGCACACCAACACAGCGGTTTATAATTCAAGTAATATGTGATTTAAGTGCAGTCTTTTAGCTTTAATTCAAGGGATTTAGCAAAAACATTGCTGTTAATTGTTTACAGAATCACCACATATGTACAATCAGACTATGTAGAACAATGTCTGTAATCCATGTAATACTTGTGATTTAATCACATATTGATTAATTTAAAATCCAGTATTGTGGTGTAGAGAGGCAAAATCATGTCTTTTCCCAAAGATTTATGAACCTAACTGAATGTGGGACATGTCGTTACTGGGTATTTATTAGACAGGTAGAGTCAAATGTTGTTTTTTCATCATTTTTTGCGTATTTTCTGACACCTTTCCATCAGTTATTTAAATGCACTCATGTTTGCAAGACAAACTATAATTTGCTGGAGAAACTGCCACTTAGCATGCACCTTGAATGTGATTCAACTGATGACTATAAAACAGTAAGAGCCACTTGGGCTTTCCACAGTCCCACCATAATCACCACAGAATTAAATGTAAGCAGTTATGCTAAATAGGTCATTAATTAAGCTTATTAAAATTAGCACAGAATTCTATGCAAACATTGGTGGATGCATATTATTAGAGCCCTGTGTCCTAAGGTTTGAGCAGTTCTTTAGTTCCAACCATTTTTTTCCTCAATATTTCATTAATATGTAACACATGGGTTAAGAAAAAAAATCTGCCAAGGAGCAAATTCTAATCAGATAATCTGCTCCGGGGGGGAAACTTGTGATGGAGAGAAAGCGTCCAGATTTCTGGTATTGTTGTGTGTTCATAAAACTGTGTCACAGTACAGTAGGGGTTTAAAGCTAATCTAAACTACAACTCTACAACTACAGTTTATCCAGTCTGCCTAGAGTCAAATATTTACCATAAAGTTCTGGAAACTTCGGCACCTGTGAAAGACCTTTGATAAATACAGACGTCAGAAATGTTAATGTGGCAGGTGAGGTCTGCACTAGATGAGCTAATACTACAGCAGAACAACTGAAAACTGCTAACAGAGTTCACCCATTTCACACATGGCTAACAAGGCTTGACTGAATTACAACTGGCTGAATAAATTCAAAATCAATTATAAGCTACCCTAAAGCTGTTATGGTAATGTACACATTTTTTAAAGCTCAAAACAAACTAACAATTTTAATTTTTCTGCATGTAGACACATAGCTAGAGGGATACAAGAGCTACCATCAAAATGTGTTTTCAAATGTTACCCTCCATCACAGTGATCCACGCCACAACCATTGCAGTGACTGTGAGGAAAACACACACCCAGATAAAACATTCAGAGACGTGACAAAAAGGACGACAAACAAACACGGAGGACGCTCTTAGAAATTTAAAACCAGAGAGAGAAGCATATGCAGAGAAATGATCTTAGAGCGAGATAAAAAAGTGAGTGTCAGGCGAGGAGACAGACCAACAGAAATAATCACCAGGACAGATAAGCAGACTGTTTGAGATAAGGACAAATGCACATGCAAAGAACTGTGAAATCCAGACATTCGAAGAGTGACAGCAAAGGACGACTTGAAAGGCTGTGACTAAGCCAATATTCAGGCCTCATCTCCATATATTTCCATATACCATGAACAGTCGACTGTTGGCGGGTCCAGACTCACCTTCCCCAGCATTGTAGGCCAGAATAGAGCGGGTCCTCATTTGCTTGCCCTCAATGGTCTTGCTTGAGCATGTCTGAGAGCAAGTGGACCAGGACGTCCAGTCACTGAGCACACAGTCTCTTGAGCAAGGCACCTCACAGGGCACAGGTTCTGGAGTTGGGTTAGACGTGCAGAGATTTCTTTCCACCTTCTCTCCTGAAGCAAAACAGAACATACAACAGGGTCAAAAGCCCATAAATGGCCGCTTGTCGAGAGGCTGGGGTGATCACTTGGTAATCCCAAAAAATAGGATAATAGTGTTTTAATCTGCTTATGATAATCACTGATCATAAAATTACGCAACTCTTCTTATAAAGTTACAGAGTTATACTTGGCTGATCTTTCCTTCAAGGCTTTTTGCTTGTGCACATCTGGACCACTTTCAGCGTTACAGGTCAATTCAGAGTATATGCACTTCTGCAGTGGGTATCTATCTAACTATACACACAGGCTGAGTCACCTTGATTGCACCTAGTAGGGGTATTCTGTAATAAGAATCACAAGACATTTCTATTTGCCAGATCTGATCTATGATTTGATCTATTTGATCATACAGAAACCAGCTGAACAAGTGCTTTAAATAAATTCCAGATGTTATTGGCAATTACAATACATTCAAAACTCCCATTTGTGTGTTTCTAAGTCCCAATGGTCATTTTGTATTGCGAGAGGTCCCGGGTTCAAATCCCGGACGAGCCCCCACTTGTAACGTTCCCCTAAAAGGGGTCTAGGCGATGAGGGGGAAGTAACAAAATGTGTCCGGGTCAGAAAAAGGAGACAGAGGCAAGATGGTTAAATTAAAGAGTTTTATTAAAGTTTCTATTAGTACTAACTAAAAGAGACGGACAAGCCGCTATCACCATTTAAAGAAACAAAACTCAAACGTTGGTCAATTAAACTGAGAAGTAAGCCAGAGAAGGATAAATTGCCAAACACACTCCTCTCCACCAAGTAGGAGCCGAACACACACAGCTCAGTAGCTGCAACCATTCACATGGCACTGGCCCAGAGCTCACCTTTCTCTGCCCTTAAATACCTTTAATTGCTGATGTGAGTCAGCTGTACAAAAGAAAAAGGTGGTTACCTAAGGCAGGACAGCTGGTAGGACATGCCCACACAGGCAACTTCAGGAGGAGGCCCTGCTAGGGCCGTAACAGTATTCATTTCAACAAAAGTTGTCTGCTGAAAGGTGCAACAAGTGGTTCAGTTTATTCGATATGTCTTTCTCAGTATAGTGGAATACTCAGAATCTACCATCTGAAAATTTCAACAGGTTCTGCGTGCAAACAGTTGTTCACTCATTATTTCACCTCCATATTACACATGAAACCATAACATTACAGCTATAGCCCCATTAGTATTACCTATGTTTAATTTCAGTTCTCAAGCAGCACATATGACCATCAACATCCCAATTAAATCCTGTTGCTTTGCAGTATATGCAGTAATTAAACACTTGTGTTGGCCATTTTATCAAAGAAAATGTCTAAAAGTGAATATATAAAGTGACTCAAAACAAGAACATTAAAAACTGATTAAAGTTTAAATAGAGAAATATAAACCAGATAAAGACCTGAAACACAAACACAAGTAATTTTCTGATTTTGCTCTAAAAGTCTGATTATCATTGTTGAAAAAAATCAGAAAACATTCATTGCAAGAATTTCATTGTTACCCGTCACATTTCAGCACAGAGGCGGAGGGAAGTGCTGAGAAAGTGAACAGATGTGTGTCTTAATTGATGGCACAATGTCAAGCACATGGCCCACTTTAGATTTTTGAGTCACGCTTGTTCTCTCAAGTGGCAGCATAAACTTGGTTTTGTTTAATTGTTTTTGTGTAATGCGAAGACAAGAAAAGACAAAAGATTTTAAACAGGAAAAGCCCGGAGAGCAGATTGAATCAAATACTGTACATAAGTAGCTTAAAATGTCACAGTTACTGTACTTTACTCATACATTCAAGTCTTATGCATGATCTATTTTGCTGTATGTCTATTCATACATACAGTAAATTCTACTGAGCCCCAAATAAGATATGCTTATTAAACACAATGTATTATTAACAATCACATTTTTGGTTTCAAAAATTTGTGGCTTGTCCCACATATAAGGTCTGTCGTTTTTGGGGCCCAATGTCAGCCTTCAGAGGGATAACTGTGTAAAATTTTACTTTTGTTTTACCTCATAATAATCTAATCTTGCAATCTAACCTATGCAAAAAGACAACTTTGTATTGTAAAACTATGTTAAGTATTAGACTGCGCTGGTTGTGGACACACTCTGTACTACTGCAGTTAGAAAGATAAATAGAGGAGCTCTCCCAGCTCTCTCACTGAATGCTGCTGAGGCTGATTGAGACAGGCAGTAGCTGAGATTATGATTGCAGCCATGCGGTGACATAGCGATCACTGTGGCTGCAGCCACAGCTTTGCTTTGGGTGTTATGATTATGGTTATGAAACATTAGTTTATAATGGTTGGGCGTGCGCAAATTATTAATATGACTGTGCTGCTTGAGAACTGAAATTAAACTTTTTTTTTCTAAAGTCCTGTGAACTAATGGCAATAAATCTGTCATATCTGATAAAAAGCACACAGGTTGCAACAGTTAAAGAGGGACTATTATTCTTTTCACTGTTTCATCTAATGGATAAAATATTACTAATGTGGATTCTTAAATTAAACTTAGCCAAAGGTCAAATAATAAATGGACGCATCTGCAACTACTGTGATCGACTTGTTCAAGGCCAATGTTTATACTCAGTTTTTGAATTTATCAGTGAGAGAAGCATCACATCATCTCATCGACTCATTATCGGGAATAATAGTCACAATATCAATATAAAAACTCACAAATGCCAACAAATTCCTGTAGGGAGATTGTTGAAGCTATCAACATGAATGATGGAAAATGTATAAAGACCTCAAAAAAGTTGAGCAATAAATATAGTTGCATAAAGTTACACTGCAGAAGTCTAAACCACCAAACAGACTGCATATAACAGATGGACTAAGCTTGAAGCTACAATGTTATCACTTTGGTAACCGGTATAAATGGAGCCAGAAGTAATCATGTTCGTACAAGAGGGTGAAGTTAGAAGCAAATTCTAGTAAGCTTGAATCTGTAGTGTACGGGTGCAATCCATAAGTCCAAAAATTTCCCTCACCAAAAATTAAAAACATTTTAAAACAATGGCAAAATAATTTAAAAGCTGTGTAACATGAGAGTCATCGGGGTGTATGCTGTTCAAACCTTCTATTAACGAGGGGCTGCTTATCAGAAGACAGATGACCCAAAGAGAGGGAGGGGGAAATGTGCTAAAATGGTTGTTATAGCAATTCTTATAATAATGACACTAATAGTAACAACAACATTTTAAATGTAGATGTGTCACATCAGCATATCTTCTTTCTGCAGAGAATTTCCCTAATGTGGCAGTGGATTATAACTAAACTAATGTTCCTTATACTGACATGACAGATGATTATGACTCTTTTAAATTGATTAGCTGTAAAATATTCATACTGATGCACTCTTGACTGTGGCTCGTCTCCAAACAAAGTGGCACTGAACATGGAAACTGCAAATTCACATGGAATTCCCACATTTTTACACAACTATTCATGGTTTATTGATGAGCTGCTGGTATCACGCTTAAGTGGATTAAAATAACCCACACATTTGTCTGGTTTGCTTCATGTGTTGCCATGAACCAGGCGGAGAATATTTTCCTCTTTCGGCAGCACACACACACAAGCAAATGTAAACCTTTCAATGAGTGAATTGAAAATTCAAGCAAAAGAGAGGCTTCACAAGTCAGACTGGGCCTGACTCTGCATTAAGATGTCACTTTGACAGATACGCAGTGAGCCAATCATGACTGAACTAAGAAGGCATGAAAATAAGAAGTGACAAGGGACCCCAGCAGTTTTCAGACTCGCACAGAGGAAACATGAATGAACAGAACACCCACTATGAGAGGAACACCTCCATGCTCAGTATGCAGAGAAGAAACAGCTCCCTGTCTAAGTGGGCAGGCAGTCAGCATGGGGAATATCAATAGCCAGTTTCAATAACATTTGTATCGACCTTCGTCTGTTGTCTGGGGCCTGGCTGTGTGGCCTTTTCTTTTATGGCTGGGACACACTCCGAGAAAAAATACAGCCAGCATTGCAGTGAAAAATCTCTGAGGCGAAAAGCAGAGCAAAAAATCCAAACAGAACAAATCAATTTTCATCAGATGAGGGAGTGAATGTGAGCGGGGATCAATCAACCAAAGTCATGGTGTGAAAGAACAGTGCAGAGTTTCTGCTGTACTCCGGCCGTACAGGGGAGAGTTTCCAGCAGCCCAGCTTCACTGAGCACCTGCAGCTGATGCATGAAGTGAGATTTGTGGGAGACGTTAGAAGGACAAATCAACTTCTCTAGTGTGGAAAACATGAACAAAGTCACTGCACTGCATCATAAATTCAAGATTTACTGAGTAGATTTGCAACTGAATGAGATTCCCAGAACAACATCACAGTATAACTTTACGTGCTGATTAAATAAACATGCCATGTCATTTGATGCACAGCTCACAGCAGCTCAACCCCCCCCAACTCAATAGTGTGTTGTGACTTATTTTGTCATACATATATCTGATAGCTGAAGGCAAGAGGAACTCAACAAAGTATCTCTGCTCGGTCACCCTTAATATTAAAGATTTACAGTAATAAAGAGAAGCAGTAAAAATCAGGGAGTAGCAAAGGGCACGAGATACTCTAAGACTTGGGGCTCGAGGATTGATTTGATTTAAAGCGAGTAAGGTTTAATTGTGCGTGCAGAGAGGAAACTGTAATGAGAGAGACGGCAGGAGAGAGGTAGCAACGCTGAACCGAGGAAGCGTTAAAGTAGAGAAGTAGAGGAGCTTTAACAGGGAGAGGGGGGAAGGGGAGCCAAGGGAGAGCATTCCTCACAAAGACGAATGGCAACTGGGAGTCATGTTGTGGAAATCTCCTCACGTACAGCGCTGTGCTGCAAGAGTTGCAGGGTCGGTGGACAGGTGACCTTGAAAATATAGGATTTTTCATGCAAGGTCAGACCAGCAATTTCTTTTTATTGCAAATCAAGGTGGGTCGAAAACGCAGCAAAATGCAAGGATGCGCAGGGAGCAAGCATCAATGTCAGCCAACAAACACTGTCTGTAAGCAAGAGTATGGTTAGTTTTTAACAAATGACTCAGCTCATTTTGAAAATGTGGGGCACATTAGGATTAAACATTCCTCGCTCACCGTTGCTGTTGACACATTGGACCTGCACAATCTGGGTGCCGGAGCCACACTGCTTCCCATCATCAGGAATGCACGGACTCAGACTGATCAGCTGCCAGTCGTAACAAGTGGGCTCGTCACATGGCACCGCCTCCACAAGGTGTGGACAGTTTCCAGGACCTCCCGTTGGCTCGTTTGTAATCTGTCGTTTCCTCAGTTTGAAACCTGCAGTGCAAAGACAGTTATCACAACTGACAAACTTTTGTGTGTGTAGCAGGCTTTAGTTTTTTCACACAACCACATACATAAGGGGAAAATAGTCCTCCTCTTACTCCACTACATGTTAAAAGTTATATTTTATTGCATTGTATTTATTTATATCATGTGATAATTTTTTCTAATCATACACATTGTATATTTTTTTAAAAATTGTCTAGTTTCATCTGTCACAGGTGGGTTTGATAGCAGTTGGTTAGCACATGCAATACATGTATGTAATTTCCCCTCTAGAGGTTTTCTCTATCTTTTTTAAACTACACTATAAATAATATCACAACCGCTCAGATTTATCTTTAAATCCTTGCATAAATAAGCCTCCTTTTAGGTTGGAGACAAATGAATTAAATAGGCTCCACGCTGACCAGCTACACCCCTAAAACAATCGTATATACAGCAAGTATTTCTCTGTAGACCAACTACTTCTCTGTTTAAACTGGGCCTTTCATGTTTTTCCTTACTTTCTGTCTCATAAAAACTGTTACAGTGATGGATATTCTAACAAAACATGGTGAACAGTTGAATAAATTACATTTGTGCATATGCAAGTAATCCCTGTAAGCCAAAAGGTCAGGTTTCAGAGTTCTTTGAGCACTCAGTCTTCTTCCTACATCAGTGAGACAAGATATTACTTATATGGTCATCTCTGACTCCCAACCAAATACTGTTAAAACCTTCTGTTCACTGGAGTCTGAGAGTGTGCACCAAGTTCCAGTATAACATAAGTAAGCATCTTTTTGAACCATTAATCCACTTAAAAATAAATAAAGCCACTTGAAAATAGTGCAAAAATAAAATGATTTATGCTATTAATTAATTTAATATTATTAATGTAGGATTTTACAAATAGTGAGATCTTACATTACATTTTACTTTACTAAAGTCTGAGCACTTAAATGTTTGTTTGATGGTTCGCTTCTTGATATGGCTCATCAATAAGAAACCTTTATGATTTCACTTCATTGCTTAAGTTTATACTTATGTGCAATATTTGCATAAACATTGTTATTCACTCACACTATGAACAAAGACTGCCATATTCTGATGCAACAAAGGGACATTTTAGACTGAAAATGTAATTAGGCTGCTGTAGTTTCCTTAGAAATTGTATGCTTTTTACCTATTCTGTAACAAGATGACCTGCTACTACTGGAGACAATCAGTCATTAAAAATTCAGCAATATTCTCTGAAGCTATGTGGTAAGGTGAAAACCAATATAAGAATATTTTTTAATGTAAAACGATATAAAGACTGCATATTCATTAAGCACATTCAGGCTCAATCATATTATTCTACAGCATTCTAATTATAACGGCCTCGTACAAAAAGATAACAAACGTGATGGATGGTGTACAAGCAGCATTTAATACACAGCAGCCACTTTTTTCATTGTTTTTGAGCAATAATTATTAGAAACAATAACAAGGAATAATTTAAGAGGTTCTTGTATTTTCAGCACAAAATATTGAATCGGGTGAGAATTTATCTCGGTGCCAGGAGCACAAGAGGGTGACAGATGACTGACAAATTATTTTCGGCTTGTTTATCTCCTATAATGAAGACTACATGGAGGCGAGAAGGGGGAGTATTTAGGAAAAAACACTGAACAGCCGGTCTTAGATAGTGTCTGTAATTATTTTAAACCAGTGTAATACAACAGCTTCGATAAAGCATAATAATGCTTAAAACGTGACACACTGAGTATAGTACTTAGAGCAGACAGAGACAGTTTAGTTGATAATGGCAGCTCATATTAGCTGAAGGCTCAGCTGATACCCTATTTGAGGCCTCAGTCACGCAGGCTTAGAGACCGCTCGGAGACTCCCTGGCAACTGTTGGTCACCAGGGAAAAATGTGACTGGCGAATCTGCAACCTGCTTTGAAACCCACCTCCATCCCAACTCCTGACTAAATTAACTGACTGGAGTCATTATCTTGCCCTCCAATAACACTGTGAGGAGTCATTTTTGACCAGGACATGTCCTTCAATGCACATATTAAACAAATATGTAGGACTGCTTTCTTCCATTTGCAGTATGGAATCGAGAGACAGCGACTATCTCTATTTTTAAGATTAGGCTTAAAACTGTCCTTTTTGATAAAGCACATAGTTAAGGTTGGATCGGGTGATCCTAAGTCCTCACTCAGTTACTCTGAAATGGGTCTAGGCTGCAGGGTGATTGAAATCCCACTATCAAAGCGCTTGCTCATAGATGCTCATATAATTGTTGGGGTTTTTCCTCTGTTTTACTTGTATTAATGTTGGGTCTTTACCTTACAATATAAGGCATTGAGGCAACTGTTGTTTTGATTTGGCACTCTATAAATGGAACTGAATTGAATGTCATAGTGCCGATCTGTTCTGTGCACGCCATGGAGTCTTGCTGCTACTCCCCCAGCTTATGCATTACATGTATGCAGATCCACAAACGTAGAGCAATTGAGAGGTGCAAAACAGAGCCACAGTGCCAAACGTAATAGAGTGCAGTTAGAAATAGCAATCACCTTTTGACTATAATAGTTTGGACTGAATTACATATTTCAACCATTCAGGTACCTTTCTTTCCAGCCTGATCATCACAGTTTTCAAAGGTGCAGGGCCCCCAGGCACCCCATGGTGATACCTCACAGTCGATGGGACAGGGGATTTGGCACAGCTGGGATCTGTTGGGGATTGGACCTTCGCACAGCTTGTTTTCCACTGGGCGGGAGGCTGTGCAGATAAACAAAAGGGAAACACACAATAAGCAGCAGATAAAATGAGCCTAATTCTGAGGAATTTTTCTTCTTTAGCAGCATTGAAAGGAGCAGGAACAAGGGACGCAAAAATGCTTATTTGCTTTTATTCCTGGCATAAAATCCCTGCAGAGGGTAGATGAGAGCCACAGTGAAAAAACAAAACATGCCTGTGAAGTAGACACTATTATCCCTTTGTTTTGTTTATCGTCTCCCTGTTAGCATGTCAGAATGATAAATTAGCAATGATTATCTCGTACAACGCCTTGCTAGCAGCATAAAACATTATGCCCACGGACTCTCAACGGAGACATAGGAAGAGGAGGCAACAATACAACACTAAAGGTGTAAGAGAACACGGACAATATCTTGGCTCATGTTTATTCCATGAGGTGTAATTTGGCATCTACTTCTCCTAGTCATGCCATGCTGGATTCTAAAAAAGCTCTTTCCACGAAACCACTGGTAAATGCATGCCAGTCTGAACTCTGGGGGGAAGAAAAGAGGAGATGCTATCACCGTGCAAGAAACAGCTCTGTGACAACTGTGCAGAATACATTTCTACACATCTGCATCATGATAAATAAATCTGATGTGTGGAGTTCCTGAAGATACAAAGTTAATGCATTTATTCATGCACAAAATCATGCAAGTGTCATTTCAAAGTGGATGTTTCTGCTTTCAGAGACATTTTTCTTTTTTTCCCTTCACCCTTTTGAGCCTCGTGAGACTAGAGGCTGACAGGAAATGAACAAAGAGACTAGGAGAAAGGGGACTTTTGATACAAGCCTGACCACACGCAGAATTTAAGGTTTTGCAGCTTAATTGCATATTTTCCATTTGTATTGTTTACACAGTTTTAGCAGAAAGTAATACATTTAATCTGATGCAAAAAGGGAATGGAGAGGTTTTTTTTCCAGGAAAGTGAAACCAACTGCTGACTGTATTTTCCAAACAATGACACCATCAGCATTTAGATTGGTTGCCTTTAAGGTCTGCTTTTATCTTTACAATTCCCGCTCCCTCAGAAAATAAAAGCAAACTGGCAAAACTGGGAGAAAAAAAAAATCACTTTTTTTGCCTGTGGACAAACCGGAGTAACTACATTACGTGAAGAAGAACAGAGAAGATGGTGCGAAAAATGGATCCCTTTTTTTTCTGTGTCCATAGAAACTATTGCAAATGACCTCAGTCGGAACAGGGGTGTCAACAGCCCTCACACTGTGTTGGGAGAATTGACTGATGCTTACGTGGTGCCAAACAAGCTGAAGAGGCACTTGGGAACCCAAAGTCCCTTCTCTGAGAGAAAATTTAAAAGAATGTTGCATGTAAGTTGAGACACCATTCACTGGACTGTGGAAAATAAAAAAAGATGCTTGCAGGTGGCATGCCAGCTGCAAATGTGCTGTCAACAGAGCTTTCAGCTGACTGCACAACCAAAACAATAGTTCATTCCTGACATGTCAAATGGCAAAGCATACAGGTGTTGTATGTTTGAAAGACAGATAGTCACTACACTGATATCTACTTTGTTTATGGAACAACTATGTAATCAAAACAGAAAATAGAGATCAAAGGTGATCCTACTAAAGCCCTGACTCATGTTGCAGTTAACTTATCTTAGCATGAAGCCTGAAACCAGAGGTAAACAAACTGCTTGGCTCCGTAACAGAACATTTTAAGTTTGCTAATTAACCCGTTACACCTTGTTGACTGATTGATTGTTGGTTTGCTGAACCAATCAAGTGTTAAAATGGCAATTTGTCTTGATGACATGAGACATAAGCTTTGGAGGTAATGGAGAGAAGCAGGCTAGCTGTTTTTCCCCGTCTCCAACCAGCTGCTGCCTGTAGTTTCATATTTACCAGACAGATATGAGATTGGCCTTCATCTTTTCATGTAACTTTTAAAGAAAGAAAATAAGTGTGTTGCCTACAATTTTAAATCATCCCTTTAAAGCATGAAGCCAGCAGCACACCAGCTTCATGCTTCCAGGTTTTCCTGATTAGAAGAAGTCTGGCTCACTGAGCAGACGAGTCCAACCCTCTGCCTGAAGCTCCCCACATTGACGGACACTTCTGAACCTCTCTTCCTGCAGCTACACTCAGAAAACCTGCAAAGCTGAGCCTGTAAATCAGATTTCATTCTGCGCAAAATTCTGACTTCACCATTTTTTGAGCTATATAGCTTTAATAAAGATAACTATAAAACACTGATTCCCAGGAATAATGACAAGTACTGTAGAAGGTACTTCTTCACTACTTGGAAAGATTAACTATTACAGTTATTTTTGTTTAATTTAATAATTGAAACGTGGCCTATACAGGGGGAGATATTTGAATAGTAGCTAAAGGTACTGAATGAATGTTTAAAATAGTGAGGCGACCATTATGAATGGTTAAAACATAAATATGAAAATATGAGCTAAAAGTTGACCAGGTCTGATTTAAGATTTCCTACTTATTGCAATTAAATGTTTTGAGGTGAACTGTGGGGATACAACAGACGAAACTATAAAAACCCTGTTTAACTACATGTTGTTATACACAATACAATATCATAAATATAAATGATTATACATGAACTTAAATTAACTGTAACAATGTGGGCGGACTTTGTCTGGTTTTAATGTGAAGCTGTAGGAGAATAAATTGGCACCATCTGTCGTAATAGGAAGTACAGCTATAGTAGATTTTGCCCCTATAAGAAAATCCGCTCTCTGTGAAAACTGATTCTTGGTTGAAAACAAGATGATGAAAAATACATATCAGAAGCTTTTTCTCTACAAAGTCTGAGTATGGATTGATCTCTACTTTTGAAATATTGTAATTAATACTGGAGTGTGTTTTTTAAAAGAAGATATTTAACGATTCATACAACAAAAAAAACCCTCTTCTTCATGTTCAACCTGAAGCACTTTATTTCCTGTATCCCAACTGTTCCTACAAGACATCTAAAGCTTAAAGTCTCTCATAGGCAGGACAGCCAAATCATAAATCCCTCAGAACTGTACAGGGAAAGGCAGAAGGGCCTTTTGAAATGCAAAATGTCTAATTCCTTTTACAAATACACTGAAAGTCAAATACTGAGTTTGCTGAGCCACTGTTAATCCACATCTTATTGGAGAACTACACTCTCTTCAATCTTTTAACATCAGTCCATTTGTGAATACTAAATTGGGGGCTGACAGTGTATCAGCCTCTCTATAAAAGGGAGAAAATATCCTGGAGAATATCCTGACTCTCTGTTAGTCCATTTTGTGGTGTACTCTCCAATGAGTTCATTTCTCTATTGTGCAAAAATGACAACGGTAGAAAAAAAATCCCTCTTGCAAGTGCGGCTTACTGTCTGCAGCGGTGGAAAACGTCTTGCTATCCGTATTCCGTTTGTAGTGGAACAAAGTTTGTCTTACAGTTCCTTCAAAGCTTTAATTCTTCTATCCAGTAGAAAACAGAACTTTGGTGTAAAACTAGTCATCCTTTGTTTTACTTGAAAACAACACTAAGAACTGGCAAGAGAGCAAAAGTTTGGGATTGTAACTGCACAACTGGCTCGTGTATACTGAACGTGATTATGATTATCTAAATTATCTAAAGCATTACAGCAGCTGGGGCAAAGTCTACTGTAAAAAGAACAAGGAAGAAGAAAAGCGGAAAAGGAAACAGAAAAAAGAAGAGCCAGTGAAAGAATAAAAACCAAATGAAACAACAAAAAAAGGCAAATAAAGGAGGTGAGGAGTGAAGGTAGATGAGGGTAGGATGATGGGAAAGGAAACAAGTGCAAAAAGAGAAGAAACAAAAGATTGACAGGAAAGAAGACAAGAAGAGTTGGTGCAATGAGAAGGGAGAGGAATGGAGGAGAAGTTACAAACTAACCAAGAGGTTAGGACAGGAAATGCATGAGGAAAAGCAAAGGAAACATGGCAAAAGGAAATGGAAATGGAAAAAACAACCAAAAGGAAAGATGAAAAGGATGAAAGCAATTGGAGGAGGGGAGAAGACAGAAGGGAGGGAGGGGTGAGGCAGGCGGGGGACGCATAAATCGGGGAGACGGGCTTTGTGACAGCATGACTAAAAACACCTACCTGTAATCTGGAAGGTGATGGAGAGAAGAGGGGGGACACTAGGCTTCTGCTGTTTTTGGGTCTGACCCGCTGCAATTACAAGGGAGATAGCGCTATTAGCTACGCACACACAGGGGAGACAGAGGCACTATCAAAGAAACAGAGGGAGGGAAACGGCACAACAGAGACAGGCAGAAACTAATGCAACAACAACAGCAGACCTGAGCCTCATAACCCAAACATGTTCAATTAAATGCAGATCAAATCTTTGGTTTGAGTGGAAAGCATAAAATAATTGCTGTGCATGGTTCATTTCTTCCGACAAGGCCAAATCAGAGGGAAAGCCACGTGGACCCTAGGAACATGCCATTTTATCAGCTTAGATAAGAAAGTTGACACATGAAAAGAAATTACTTTTTTAAACACTTTTCTTTTTTTCAAACTTAACGGCAGCAGACTAGGTAATGAAAGTGAAAATAAACATTAGCTGTGATTATGCACTGCGACTTTTTAGCCTGTCTGTGTATTTAAAGGAGCGGTTAAGCAATTGCTGAAATGCTCTTGGCTGTATTTGAAAACAGCAGCAGATCGATTTCACGAGCTACAGAGCTAATTGATGCCTGTTTGCTCACTGCAGACAGGAAAAAAGTTCATTTAAGCTTAATTTATGAGCAAAAGATCACAACAATAGTTCTTTCAAGGCACTTTATATTGAAAGGTAAAGAACAACATTCTAGAAAGAGCTTAGTGATCAAATCCCCTATAAGCAGGCACTTAATGATCTTATATACATGCATGCTAAGGTATTTCAACCTGACACATAAATATAAACAACACATTGTTTATTGTGTACAAAACAGAAATTAGTCCCTTTAGCACAAACTGAACAGCAGTTATGCGTTTGAGAAACTCAGCCAGATGCAGTGACTCTGCCCAGCTTCCGAGAGTCTTGTCGTCACAGCAGGGTTGCCAGTTTCTGACGCTACACTGTCTGTATACAGACCAAACCCAAAACCTGTCGTTTGATACGATCACCGCAGGTTGCTGACTGCATCTGCCAGCCCACGCTATAACTGAAAATGCTGCACAGAATTGCTCTGTGAATGCATAAAATGGTGTTTGTCTAGAAATATTTTCAGCAGCTTTCCTTTTCTCCTCTCTGCACTTTTTATGAGAAATTGCGTGGCAGAAGTCGTGTATATTCATCACTTTCTTGGGATTCAGATTGATCATTTCTGTCACTTATTTTGGCCTAAATACTTGTTCAGTAAAAAGAAGAACAAATCAATTTAACATGCAAGTCTCTATAAATTTACAAAATTCTGTTTTTACATTCTTATATTGTGAATAAAAAAAGACATTTGTGTACTGCAACACGATTCTGGAAAAATGTCTTTTTGGCACAGATTCAACGAGGTGCTGGAAACATTCTCAGAGATTTTAATCCATTCTGACATGATGGCATTGTGCAGTTGCTATAGATTTGTTATGCAGCCAACAAATCTACAATCAAACTTCCATTCACAACATCCCAAAGGTGCTCTATTAGACTGAGATCAGGTTCCTGTAAAGCACATTCTTGAGTACAATTAGCCTTTACATTAAAGAAACCAGTTTGAGATGACTTGAGTTTTGTGACATGATGTGTTATCCTGGTGGAAGCAGCCATCACAAAATGGATACACTGTGGTCATAAAAGGATGATTAAGGTCAGCAACAATACCCAGGTAATCTTGACTGTTTAAAAGATGCTCAGTTGATACTAAGGGGCCCAAAGTGTGCCAGGTTCTGACCTTTCTTGTTCTTCGTTGACAGGTGTGGCATCCAGTGTGGTCTTCTGCTGCTTCAAGGTTCAATGTGTTGTGCATTTAGAGATGTTTATGTTGCTTTGGAAGACCTCGTCTGTAATGACTTCCCTGGCCTCTGACATCAACAAGGCATTTTCTTCCACACAGCTGTGGCTCCCTGGATATTTTCTCTTTTTCAGACCATTGTCACCATTGTCTTTAAACTCTAAAGATGGCTATAGTGGGAAATCCCAGTAGATCAGCAGTGTCTGAAATACTCGGACCAGGCCATCTGGCGCCAACAACCATGCCATATTCAGAGTCACTTAATTATTGCATTTGCTTTACTGTCCATTTGAGTGGCTGATTAGAGTGATTAAGTGCAAGTACATGTATATAATGTATTTATATTTACAGTTGTAAATGATTTAAACAGCATATAGTAGAAACACTGTAATGTTTATGATTTATAGCCCTTAGAATTATAATTGTATTCTCAGTGTAAAAAACTTCTACTGTAGATTACTGTAGGCACACTGTAAAATAACTGTCTTTTCATCATACCCTTGTAAAGACAGTGAGAAGCATGGTCTTTTGAGGAAAAACTGCTTTTATATCTTCTGCCAATCTAATCCCCAGTTGCGATTTTATTACCACCTTCAAAATATCTCCATATGCTTCAGCATACCAACACCCAGAGTTACTCATGCTCAGCTGATATTACTTACTTCTGACCCCAGATACTGATCTGGGGTCAGATCGATGCTTCTCCCCCATAAAGATTACTGTTAAGATTTAGGAGGTAGTAAGCTCATTTCAGATCAGGGCTTGAGGGCATCTTCAGCCCTTTAGCACAGTGATATTTATGCATGAGACGGTAGAGAAAGAGAGCTCTGTCATGGTCTGCGGTGGGTGGCTGGAATTTCCATAAGGCTCCTGAACTGACCTGGGATCCGCCCCTGGGCAGGGCCAACTCCAGCTCCTGCACACCTGGAGCCTATTGCAGGCAATCAAGCCAGAGGGATTTAAACCACACGTTGATGTTCATTCACTGCCAGTTTGTCATCAACACATTTGCTGTATTCACCTTGGCTCACGCTCCACCTCCGGACTCAGGATACCAAGCAATCATTCTGAAAATCTCTCTGTGCCTCACCTGCCTGCCCTCCTGCCATCACACTCCATCTGAAGCCCCAGATCTCAGGCCAGCCTTTCCACGCCACTCAGCCTCCCCTGGATTCTCATCACCCCCCTCTCAACACTCCATGTCCCCTACTGCAAGTAAGAATTGCTACTCTTACAACTGGCCACTTCAGAGCTGCCTCCACTACCTCCCTAACTCCTCTATCTTCTCTCTTCAGTGTGACTGTTCCCTGCTCAGCTCCACTCCGCATCTCAGGCCTCATTCCCTCGCCCTAGCCACGTTCCCCAGGCCACGCCTCGTCAAACTCCACGTCTTATTGTTTTTTTTTGTCTTTGCTACGTTTTCTTTTTTGCACTTAAACCTAATAAATTGTTACATCATCTGCTGTCTCTGCTATGGGTTTCTGCACCTGAGTCCTGTTCAGTACAGGCCACTCGGCCCCGTGACAAGCTCTGGTTGTAGCAAACATCGCTGAGCTGCTGTCTGCCTCTCTGTCTCAGTGGTGTGCTGTGAGGTTACCCCCCAAAAGAGGGAGAAGAAATCCTGCACCAAGAAGATAAGAACTTTGTACATGTTTGTCTGTGTTCACACTTTCTCACATACAAGTCACGCACGTCTCTCTCGCAGCACTCTCAACATGCTTGTGCAGCGTAATCTTTAACAGAGTTTATGAACACCTCAGATGTATCATCGTGTACCTCACAGCCTCTCAATAGACCTAACAGAACTTCATCTGGAAGGTTATACATTATTTCTGTCATCACAGGTTATATTTTGAACAGTTTCTGTCGATGGATTTAATCTTGGCTACCTGACTCATTATTCTTTAATTACAGCTGACACACAGAGAGCCAAAGGACCACCGATCAATTCGACCACTGAAAAATAAAAAGTGGTAAAGCATCTGTGCTGCTATCGCTTCCTTTACAAGTAATTTCCCTTTACTTAATTTAGCATTACCTAAAATAAATTTGACTAATATTGGAACCATAATGAAATATTGCAAAGCATACATCAGTGTTAGCACAATCTATCACTGACAAATGAAACAGAACAATGATTTGGTTCAGAATAGTTTTTTAAAGCTTTCCAGCTGCAGGTCTGAAAACAGGAATGGGCTCATAAATTATTCTGAAATTTCAACATAACAGTTTTTCTTTGAGTTTTTAATACAGCTTATTTCATTTATTATTATATATTCCAATCAAATTGATAAAAATGGACTGACTATATATATCTAACTTTAGTTGGCTTGCTATTGGGCTAGTAACAACATGCTAATGATACAGTTCTCCAATAACAAACTAGGTCTATTTAAAAATAGTATTTGTGGTACGACCTCTTTTAGTTTATTGGGGTATAAATCTAATAGAAAATGTATAAATCACTCCTACTCACTTCCTCAGGAACTTAGTGAATCAAGTGTTTTAGGCTAGCATCTGGGGTATACTCAGCTGTTTCACAGGGCTATGCAGTCCTGTGATACTACCACAATTAAAAGCGGTCAGTACTAGCACCTGAAAAACAGTGCCTAGACTTGGTTGTTTCATCCCATTTTTTAAATCATAATCTTTCCATTTTTCTTTTCATCACTGCTTCTCTTCCATGTGAGCCAGTAGTTTGAGAAATACGAGTAATGCTCATATTATTTCCTCTTAACTTCCTCCAGCTGGTTGCAAGAGAAGATCATCTCTCCCTTTTTGACACCAGTTGCAATTGAGCACCTCACTTCCTCCTAAACTTTGTCACTTGCTCTCATGTGATCAGTATGGTTGAGCTCCATAAGCTTAGTTTCAACTAATGTCTTTAACACCTTCCTTAAGAGGGCAGCTTTGACTCTAAGCTGGCTTGACGAGTGTCAGAAATCGAGGCCTTTACACTTGTGTCCACTGACAAGTCAAAGCAGGTCACAGGACCAGACAAATCCCTGATATAAAGGGAGAGGCAGCCAGTAAAAGGCTGTATAAAATGTTTACGTGACGAGCTGATGAAAAGAAAATACTACAACAGGTATTAATAAAAATAAAACATTGTGGCATAATATTGGACGTGAACCGAGTCAACATGTTGGCTGCTGCAAGCACATGATATGCAATTATCTGCTACCAACCCACCAAGGCCTGCAGCTCTTATACACTGTGTGTGGGGATTGGAGGATGCAAGAGTGTCACGTAACAGTGCTTGATCAAATCTATTTGAGTTACCCTTGAGACTGATTTGTTTCAGGCTGTGTGATGGTGTAGTATCTGATGTATGCAGCTGTGGCTACGCTATAGAGGAAAGATGGTCGACAGCCTCCCGAGATCAATATGCGCTCTTGACAAAATTAGATTTCTTTGACAAATTAACTATATAAGGTTTGTATAATTGAAGAGCAGGCCACAAAAACAACACAACAAAATAAAAACACTTGAAAAAGGTAGCGAGAGACAGAGTAGTGGGTTATTGCTAAAGAGTTAATTTAACTTTAATGCACACAGATTAAACATGCAGTGTAATAAAACTTGCAAATGTACACCAAGTCTACACCTCAGCTTGGTGCATAAAAGAGTGAGCATGTTTCTAATGATCAATTTTTCTAACTGGTTTCAAGTAGATAAACTTAAAAGCCTGGCAGCCTTTACAAATCATTCAAAAACCTGCAGAAAATCTGGATTTTGAAACTGAGCAACAAGTTGGAAGTTTCTGCATGACAGCCACAGTATATGCAGAGTGTACTTATGTTCTCATCCAGTGATCAGATACCACAACAGAACTGTGTGGCATAGAGTACAAGCTTTACAACATCATACTTTTCATGGAAATTGAGAGTAATTTACATACAGTAGCACTTCTCTCATCCCACTTATCACTCAAAGTGCTTTACACAACAGGACACATTTACCTTCACATAGTGCTTTATGCTATACACTCTAAGCACTTTATTGATCCAACACCCACAACTACAGCCAATTTGAAAACAGCCATTAATTAAAAAGGATGTTCTTGAACTGTGGGATGAAATCTCACCAGGCACACCGAAAACATGTAAATTCCAGCCTGAACCTTCTTGCTTACAGTGCCAACCACTGTGTGGTGGTGCAAGGCATTACGCTGCTGTTTCAGTATTCCTCTTGTAGTATCCTTAGACTTAAATTGTACTATGAACTATACTCATATTACACTAAAGTACTGTAGACTTTATCTATAAAAACAACCTCTTCAAGCTTCAATGAAATGTTAGGACTTCAAGCAACATGATTTTGCTGAGATGAGTTATGGAAGGACTCAAGCTACAAAATGAAACGGAGCTTTAACTGAAATGAAAAAGAAAATTAGAACATCAGTGATGTAATAACTCACCCACCTCATGGTCCATCACAATTCACAGATTCTTGTAATGTTTGAAGCACAGAAAGTAAGTTATGCTTTGCTGTCATTTGTTAAACTAATGAGAATTAAAATCCACTGAGAAGGCTCTGTTTTATCCAGGGGAATTAATGCTGTTTCATTCAAATCTGGCCGGTCTTCTAGAAGGAAAAGTCCCTATTAAAATGACAAATATGACCTTGACCCTGAGGACAGTTTGGTGAAGACCCATGAGGTTAATGTTGTATGCATATTTCACTAACATTTGACCAGTGCTAGAGTGCTGTGTTTGAGTAATCGCAATTCTTTGGATTTTTTGAGGGAATGAAGGATGATGGACATCACACCTTTGCATAAGCTCGTAACACTACACAAAAATACAGCATTTTTAGCATTCTGCTGTATTCACAAATAACAATAAATTACAGTACTGTTTAAGATGTTGTATATTTTGTATTCCCATAATTAATGTAGAATAACAAGTTCTGAAGTCATGTTTGCAACATTTTAACAGTATGCAGAGAAAAGCTATGTTACTTGCTATGACTACACATCACGTCAATGTAGATTTTTAAAAAATGCTTTTAAGAGCATGAAAATGAAGTGAAGGTCCAAATTCACAAGATAAAACCTACAGAATCTTGAAGAAAAGAGGACCTGATTCTATTAATAAACATACAGAGATGCAGCAAGAAAGATATATATTTTTTACCTCCCATTCTGTGTGAAAGTGACAGAGAAAAATGGAGAAAAATTGAGTTGCTGCTCTGTCAGATAAGTCAGAGGCTGAGCCGTGACACAGACAAACTCTGTGCACCGTCATGGGTTGCTGATTCCAGTATATGTCCGTTCGGTTGATTCAGACAACAGACAAAAAAAAGGTTGAAAACTGAATGACTCACTGGCCTCAAAGAGGAAACCTTACACATTAATACAAAAACTGGACTTTGACAAGAACATAAAATATGATAAAGAGCATATTTTATTAACAATTTGACTTTTTCTCTGCAGTTCCGAGAGTCCTAATCCAATGTTAGTGATGTCTTCTTTTTCTAAATCCAAAAGCTCACTCTTTGAAAGTCACTGGGACTGTCTTTAAGTAATATAGGGGCACGTCCCCCTTCAGAGCCCAAAACAGTCAATCCATCACATCCCACATTATTCAGTAAATCAGTAAGAGTCTTGAGGTTAACACATTCCAGAGTAACTCCTTAGTGCATTCAGGTTCGTATACTTAGATTTGCGTTATTTACCCCTTTTCAGTTACTGTTACATTTTACTGTATTTGTTGTGAAAAAAATCTCCTCCATATTTGTTTTGCATTCTGTCGTTTATGAGTCGCTACATACTAGCATCAAGTGCAGCTCAGCTGGCAGGATTGCAGAGAAGAAAGCTTTTAGTCTGTGGAGGTGTGCACAATTTTGAATTTGTGGGTGAAGAGGACATGAACAACATCACAGTCAAATCATGTTGTAGCTGGATGATAGTAAGTATCTGACACTTGTAAAGAGATCTACTTCATATTTTAAGAAGCACTTGTTAGGTGAGAAGGTCTGCAACACTGGTGGCCCATTAAGGTGGAGAATCATAGAAGTGCTACAGCTCCAACTTTTATTTCAGCTTAAAAAAAAGCTGTGCTGAGAGACATGCTAAAATGCTTGTTGCTGGTTGTATGTGAAGAAAAGGTTACCAGTATTAACAAGCTGTGAAATGAGGTAAAGTCACTACATCAGGGGTAGGCAACCTTTCTGATGGCGAGTGCCATTTAAAATTTCCTCAAAGTCAGTGTGCCATATGATTGTATTAGCAATAAATTTAATAACACTCTATATGAACAGTTACACACTATATAGAACCACTTTATAGAATTATATTTGTTTGCAGATGTTGGCAGCTATCAGCGAATAGTTATCAGCTATTTTGAAACAAAAAAAGACACTTTTTATCCATAACAGCAAATGAGCCGTACAACAGAAAATACAAATGCTATTTATGGTCTCCTCACAACAATGATAAGAAAAATAAACTAAGCCAATATGGCATGTTTGTTAATACAGAGACACACATGTTAATGTGATCTCTAGTTTCCCACTCAGAGACACAGGTCTCCGAGCGTCCAACATTCAGACGGCTACCCGAGGACACTCATGTGAGAGAAAATCTGCTCACGCAGACATGTAGAGCCAAATACTGTCAATAAGGCCTCTGCAATGTTCTGAAGACAGTTAAACTTGTCAGGTAGTGATGTCCAGCAGGTGAAAATGCAGCTCCATGAACACGCACAGCTGTGGATTCCAGCTGCTTCGATGTCGCATTAACTGGCATTAAGACAAATCTAGCTGCTCATTAAAGATTTCTGGTTTGATCAGAAAATAACACATTGGTCCACACACCTGAAAGTCCCGAAAACGCATTGTGTCTCAAGTCTACGGATGTATCCGTGTATTTCCGTGGTGCTGATGCTGTGCTGAGCGGACAGATCCTGAAGCTTTTGAAGTGTCGGAATGTGGAAAGCTAACAACGTCCCTCTCACCAGTAGGCTAAGTTATTTTTAGCCAATTACAAGTTGAATCTGGTAGTTGGGGTTGTTAGCTAAGATACCGTCATTAAGAAGAGGCACAACTAATGTGTCTATGTGAGCTGATTTGCGATGTGCACCGCTGGCGCGGCCATTTATTTTTTGATGCACCTTCTCAAATTAATTCACCGCGTGTCGTGCCCAGGAATGGACTGGGACAAAAGAAAACAGCCCGGGCATTTTGACTAAAGACCGGCCCCCCAGGTATTAAAGCCATAAAGCCTTTGAATGAAAACAAACGCTGTTGTGACAGTGATGTACAGTCTTGTTGGTAAATGTATGATTTCTATACGTTTAGATGACAGCTTTGGTTGTAAGATTCAGATAATTATTTAATAACAGCCAGACATTTTAAATGAAAATAAGAAAGTATTTCTTTGTGCCCCCCTTTCCCTGTTACATTCTGAAGTGGATGAAGCAGACTACACAAACTCTATAAAATATAACCAACAAGCACAAGTGGTAACACTTTAACTTTAACTGTAACTGTAACTTTTAATGGCAACAATCATGGTCTCCGTCACTAGGATGAGTCTTTTTGAATGCACTATGAGGACAATTTCGTAAGACGTGGTCCCAAAGGACGGTAAGGCTCAGCTCAAGGCTTCACGCTGGGACTTCAGTAATCAGTGTGTGAGGTCACAGTGACCAAGCCCATCTCTTATACCCCACATTTCGAGAGCCACTGAGGTAAGGGAACATTAACATCTCAAAAAACTGTCAGTAGCCCACTGTGACTGAATGAACATAACAAAGAACAGAAATTCTTCATAATTTTACTGAAAATTGGGATCTTTCACGCAAACTATGGGCAAGCACAGTAATCTGCTAGCAACTATGGCAAGTAACTGGGTGAAATTATGACTAATTTCACTTCCAGCAATCATTTTCTAAATGGCCAGTACCTGATCAATTACAATTAACTCTAGGCTAGCAATGATACAAATCGGGCCCGGAATCAGGTACTGAAGGATGCAACCATCAGCCATCAAATTAGATTACACATTTTAAAATTTCTAAATCATACAGTATATGACATCTTGATATCAGGTACTAACTCAAAAGTTAATATACATACACAACAGGGTCTTTAGGAACACTCTTAACTTTACCTTTGTCCTTTTCTCGAAGGTCGTTGAGGTATTTTAGAAGCTCAGCATTGGCTTGAACACAGTACACTTCTCTCGTCTGTAAGCCTCCTCCACAAAGCCCTGTCAGGTTGCTACGTCGACGGTCTTGTTGGCTCAGCAATGTGTCAACCCGACAGTCGCTCCACTCTGTGGTTCTCCAGGTGTAACTACAACGTGAACATAGAACATGGAACGATGGGCAACAGTGAGAGAACCAACCATGCGAGTAATGCATGTAATGTAATGCAAGATAAGCATATTTACAATCTTGCAGACATCACTTTACAACATAAATATGCACTTGATGTTTATAACCAATGTTGTCTACACTCCTCAGTTTACTATGCAGCCTTTACAAGGATGTGAAGCATCATTTTATAGCTGTGTCTCTGAAAACCTACTAGATTTTCAGACACATCAGTGTTGGACAACGATAAGTTGCTTAATAAACTGTTGAAATAATGTAAATACATTTTTTGAATGTGGCTAACACAAACATTGCTTGCACTAGCAGCTTTCTTTCTTGTGGTCCTGTATTGATCAAGTCAAGAGATTAAACTTTGATACAGCCTGTTTGATAAAGCCTGCTTGTTTACAACTTGTCAGAGAAAGAAAAGAGTGTTGTCCTCTGCAGTCCTCTTTAAAACAAGAGTTAACAGGCATGTATATTTGTAAATTAATAAGGAATAAAAAGTTTGTCTAGCTGACCACTGTATCTGGGGTCAACTCGCAGATGAAGCCACCATTTAATTGTCTAGTCCGCTAGTTGTACATATCCCCAACAGAAACATTCGGGATGGGATTAGGATCACACACAATTATAAGTTGATATATGCTGAACCATCTGTGAGAATGCTTTTAATGTTTTAATGTATGGGTGTGTGTAATTTTCTGGAATTATAATATCCTTACAGTCTCCATCCATTTGTCTTTACTTTGTGTCTGGCACCAGCCCAAGCACTTAAACTAATCTATCTCAATATGCTGTCTCACTTACACACATATACGCAAATAAACACACAGGCCACCCAGAAGAGCAAATTAGCTGGGTGGTGTGTGTAAAGGGAACTCAGCAGGAAGCGTGTGTTGTCTCAGTCAGGTTGAATACCAAACACTTTGGGTTCGCTGTATTTGTGCCTGAGCCTTATATGAATCCCTGCAATCTTTCTTAACCATGCTATAAATAAGAGGTGGGTATCATCACAACATCACATGCAGTTCTATCCCTGTGAAACATGAGCTCCTGTTGTGTACCATGCTATGAATTCCACATCTACACTTTACTCAATGTTTTTTTAAGTCCCTGCTCACTCCCACCTGTGCTCCCTGCATCTCTTCCCTATCATCAGGAGTGACTCACGTGGCACAGGGTGGTATGGATTCACCCTGAGGTTCACAAGATTCAAACTCCTCCAGGAGTGGGCACTCCGCCCCCTCGCCCACGGGGAACTGGAGCACCTGTCTGGTCCGAGTCCGATTGCCTCTGGGAGATTCAGGGTTCATGCAGGTTTTGGTGCAGGGGCTCCAAATGGTCCAGTCGGTAAGCTTGCAGTCCGTGGGGAGAACGCATGACTGGATGGTCAGTGGAAGGTCCCTTGTTAAGCACATGCTGGGAAAAGATAAAAAGGAATGACATGAAATCTTAGTGATATCATAAGAACATTAATGCAATATAAATTTGGACTGTTGGTTGAAAAGAAAAGAAAATATTTATAGCTCTAACAAAACTACAAATAAAATAGAGAATATGCTACACTTGTAATTGAGCCCTTGAGCCCCAGTCAACCAGCCAACCAACCGACCCCTGATCCAATTATGCTTTCATAGGATGAATGACAGGGTAAGCTATCACCCAGACTCTTAATCCAAATGTTCAAAATAACTACAAAAATTAGTAATCTAAGTAACATAAATTCATGTTTTTATTTCAGAATTGTAACTCAATAGTTTTAATAACCTGAACTAGTCAAAGGTCCAAAAGTATACAATGTCTATCTATAGTTTACACTATTATTCCCATTATTTCTTTCACGACATGAAAATCATGGAACTGAAATAGCAAATAAACTCATCTCAAATGTGTTCTGGCCTACAGGGTTGTTCAGTTTAGATCAGTTGCTCAGGTTGTGTTTTGTTTATCTTTTTGTTAGTTTGCTGATGCTGTGACACCATGAGTGCAGAGGGTTACTGTGTCCATAACTGTCAGTGATTACCACAGACAGAGGTTATAAAATTGTAACTGTCTAAAGTGATAGCATTACAAAAAAATGACGTTAAATTAAATAATAACTGAATTTTCAGAACAAAGACTTCCAGATATTTTTCTTTTTATCACTTAAAAGAAAAAATAGTTAAATTCATGTAATACTTTAAGTAAAATAGCATGTGATCCAAATGTTTAAATCTGAAAACATTTGGAACCTCTGCATATAAATGTGGTTGCTGGTCAAATGGCCATGAACACGTGAGCACATGCAACCAAATGCTCAGGCCACTGACTGCTCTAAATGCTCAGTTTGAGACAGTTTTTTTCCCCTACTTTTGGCTCTGTGTGATGCTAATGAGAGACGATAACCTTAATCTCTGACTGTGCGTGAAGAAGCCCACCCACCTGCTATTCAAGCCTTTTTTTTGCAAGGGGCAACAGCTTGTTTCAGAGAGAGGTTGAACTGAGAGGATGTAGGAAGTATAAGATCGAGAATGATTACTTTGAATTGTGCAAAGCTACGCTAGAAGAGTCAAAGGAAAATAGACGGAACTGAAAATGAGTATGGAAGATCCAACTTAAGTTGTTTTTTTTTCAGAAAAAGAAAGAAAAAGGAAAATTATAAGAATTATGAATGGATATTATAAGTCAAGAGCAGGGTAATCAGTTTTTGGATATAGGCCGACATTTAGCATACAGATACAGCATTCGTGGTAAGAAAGCCGCTAGAATAGAATAAAATAATCCCTTAACCCACAAGGGGAAATCTGGGTGTAACACCAGCAAGAAAGACACATATACAAACAAACAGTACACAAGAGACAGAACAGAAACATACACAATTTTTACATATTTACATCAAGGACAATGGTTACCAAAAACAGACTACTGTACCGTTACTAGATTAAATACAATTAAATGAAGTTAAGAGGCAAACCCTGTTTATAGTGTGAATCGGTTGATAAAATAGTGCAAATTACAGCGCTGATGTAAACATCTATGTTTGTTGGGAGCAGTTTTGATTGTACAGTCTGACAGCTGCAGGGAGGAGGACCTGCGGAAACGCTCCTTCATGCATCGAGGATGCAGCAGTCTGTCACTGAAGGAGCTCTGCAGTTACATATATTAGTCAGAATATAATGTGTTAAAATGTTTTTCTTAATAAAAAATACCAGATATCAGCATTGTTGAAAACTGCCTGTAGATTCATTGACTTAATGAATCCACTTAACCTTTCACTATTCTACTTCTTCATCCAAGTCATGCGGTGTACAGCTTGCTGATGCCTCATTACAATGGCACTGAAGTTTTCAGCAAGCTCTCAATTCTATTTTAATGTCAATGTGCTAAGTTGCCTATTGGCGTAAGACTTTGCATCAACATGTGTGATACCACACATGAAGCTTTGAACCCTTCGCCCTTAACTGTCGTTAGCTTCTCATTAGCATACACACTGCATAATCAGTTTCACATTAAGAGTAAAAAAGGAATGGTATGGCACGGTGTGTGTCATGTGTTAAGACAGCCAAAACAACTTCTGATCAATCGCTCACAAACATCTTTTGATCATCTAAACAGTATTTAGACGTAATGAATAACCCGTCCTCTTTGGGTCCCTTCCGAATCATTAGAAATTTGCTCTAACTAAAGCCGACTGCTTTCTGGTACTCGTTCTCGATGTGTCTCCCCTTGAGGCAAAGCAGCTGACGAGCTATTAGTGCTAATTACAGCTCTGCTTCATTTAGAAACCTCTCATTTAGACGTTGCCACCACACTTCACCTCCAGCAACTCAGACTTTTGGTATAAATCAGGAAATGTATGAGCTCAGTTGTGCTGTCTTTTTTTCTTTTAACTCCTGTGTCTTCACAGATTAAAACACCTCTGCAGTCTTTGAAGTGCTACTGGAGCGACACTGTGAAAAATCTTAGTTCTGTTTTTCTGCCAAACATGCTTGGTGTGCCGGCTCATCTTGCTTGGGAGGAAAACAATGAGGAATTTAAACAGTGAATGTGGCGCACAGAGGGTGATGGCTCGATTTCCTGTCTCAGATGGAACTTCTTGTGTTTTTAAAAAGCCCCCTAATGCAGCCAGTGACCCATTTTCTCAGCAGCTGGATCCTTTGAGTCGTTGCCGTTTGTTGTGTGCATGCCCAAGCATTTTTGTGGAGATTTCAAAGTTGCGAAAAGAAGTCATTATTTCTTCATCTCAGTCATTCAGACAGAATGAGGACACAATCAGATTCTATTTAAATAAGTAGATGACATCTGAAAAGTGCTCATTCTTAAGCATGTAGGTTTAATACATATACTTTCAGCAATGGACTCCAACAGACAAGATGCAGACAGCCAGAAAGTCTGCATACTGTAATTCAACACCTGTACACACTTGTTACTTGAATGTCAAATGACCAAAAAACGAAATTGATGTGGGTCAAAATGATTAAAGCAGCCTTTTTTTAATAAAAGAAAAATATCTGAGGGATAGATGTGGTCTCAAAAAATAAAATTAGTCGATCCCTGTACGACCTTCCCCATATGGAAAAGAAATAGAAAAAACTTATTAAAGACTTGCATAAGATGTGGCCTACTTCACATAGTGAATCATATAAGACTTATATGATTTACTCATGAAAGTGGCCACTTCCTCGTTACTCTCATATATTGTTTTAGTAAGTATCCAAAACATACAAGTTTCATTTATATAATTTTTCAAGGGATCTTATATCTTTTTTCACTCTTGTATGCTTTTCATACAAGTTTCACACAAGACAGATAGAAACTTTATAAGATTTATATATATCTTTTCCATATGGGTCTGCATCAAATTAAGTAAGAAACAAGCCCAATCAACAGGACAGCAGCTCAAGTTATAAGGAAACTGGCCTGTTTAGGATGAGTTGTCGGCAACAGAGTAAGAAGCGACTCACTGACAGATGTTCATCAAACGAAATTGGAAATGAAGTGAGCAAGATGTTTGGAGAGCACCCGGTCCGCAGATGACTGTTTTTTCTTTTTTTGCTGCACTGGGAAGTTTGTTCCACTTTTTTTTCCCCTTTTTTTTCCGCAAGTGGCAAAAACAACTATGAATATTTTAGAACAAGAAATAAACAAGTCAAGGATTAATATTTATGTTCCTAAGGGCATGTGAGTTGTTTTCACGGCTCCTTTGAAATATTTGATCCCAGTTAGTGCTGAGAGCTTGGCGCAAACAAAGCATTAATGAATAGATTTAGTACATAATTGATTAAATCTTAGAATACAAGTGGTGTGTGACTGAAATGTGATATGAATAGAGGCGTGCTCTATTGGCACTGTCACCAAATCCTTCTAAGAGATCAGAGCCGTCGCAAAAGCACAAGTTTGAAGGGAGCAGAGACGACATTTTAACTTAATGTCAGTCAAGGAACAGAAAGCGAGAGGATGGATCCAAAGAAGCAGCTCTTTAAAAGAATAGTTGATTACTTTACATTCACTTAGTAAAGACATCAAAGGTTTACACCAATACATGTTACAGAGACTTATTGACACCTGTTTGGCGTTTTACAAGTCTCACAGGTGTAATTTGCAATTTAAACTAAACTGTCCAGACTGCATGCACCACATCCTCGGATCTGTAAGATCTTAGTGAGCACAACCTTTGAAGAGTCAATAAAATATACCCTGTTTATAAAATACCAAAGTTAGTACACGAGCAATGAAACTTTGGTTTTTGCTTTCATGCTGACCTTACGCTGAACAACTTCTATATGTAATTTTTGTGTGGCTGATAATGACAGTAAAGTTGTTTTTTGTCATCTGTATTAAGTTAGTCTGTATATTTTCGTCTTGGCTATGCAAATAGTGATGGTCAAGCACTTGAATATTGTCAGCAGCTATTTCAGCAAGAAACATTCGGGCAAATAATGGCAGCTGTGGTGAAAGGGTTGTTCCTTTTACACTCTGTTTTTTTTTTTGTATGTTTTCACCATGGGCGGCTAGGAAGAAGGTAGAGGTTGGTTGAGTACCAATTTGAAGGTGGTTTGATCCTCTACTCTTCATGTCAAATTATCCTTGGGCAAGATACTAAATCCACAGCTGCCCCCATTGGAGTGTGAGCGGCAAATGTTAGGTTCAAAGTGCTTAGGCATAGAGAAAAAATGTTATTTCATAAGAGAAAAGTAAAACTGTGTGTTACTATTTCCACGCGTTCTTATACGTTTAAAAAATGTCGTGGAAAGATGAAAAGTATTCAAAGGTAGGAAGGCATTACGACCACAGTCAGACAGCAGGCTTTCAATAGCCTCTTGGTGGTATTTACATTCGGTGAATGGGCTGTGGTTATGGGCTGTACTTTACTTTGCATCCATTCACACATACATTTATGCAGCACTTTTCATACTATACAAACAACCAGTCTGCAATTT